GTGAGATTCGTGAGATTTAGCGCAGAAACTCAAGTAAGGTCGCCATTTGCTGAAATAGATGCGGTTTGGTTTATTCAAAAGAGCACTGTAGTTGGTCCATCAGACGACAGGCTATCCTTTCAGCATGTATCTGATAGTCCTTCTTGAAGCTTAAACTAGCGGCAGCGGTGTTCGGCCGTTGTCGAGGTGGAAGGCCCGTTGCTGGTTGTATTATTGAGAACAGTGTCAGTGTTAGGCAAAGCTTTACAAAAATATGCATTTTTTCTAACTGCACAACTTATATGCATGGTCCTGGCTTGCGGCTATTAACTGGTCAAGCAAAGTTGTGCATTCAGATATAACGTGAGGACAGTGCTGCGTTGCTGTTGAGTACCTCCTCCCTCAACCGTGTGACAGAAGACATTCCTCTGCCCTAGCACGAACGCGGTCTGCCGTGCTTTACTCCGTGTAATGCGCCACTATATTTTGGCGGTTGCTTCTTTCCATGCGGATGTCGAAGTTATTTTTTGCAGGGCCGCTGTACGCTGTTGCCCTGTTTCGGCCGTTCATGCCAACACTATTTAGACTCTGTTTTTTAATACATGCGTTAGTATGCGTTAATTCCTGTTTTAGGAACCACGAGAAGCAAATCTGATGATAAGACGGTCGTAAAGCTATTCTACGAAGCGTACGAATCAATGGCTTACAGAGAAATGCGAAAAATCTGCGACAGTGTCAAGAGGCGTTGGCGAAGCGTAGGTCGAATTGCCATATTTCACCGACTGGGGTATGCTATATTTCACTGACGGGCATCGCTCGGTAAGCGAAACAAAACAGCGTAGATGTTGTCATGAGCAAGTGTATTTTACGTGTCGTTGTGTCTTAGCTGTAATTGAAGACTTCGTGTGGTTGTTGTTTCTGTTTTGTTATCGTCGTCTGAGGTTAGCAGAGCTTAAACAGCAGAGTAACTCACATTTTAGATGTCTGACCCTTCGGAAACAGTACTTCAGATTATCACGAGGCAAAGTTCACTTCTGCGGCGAAGTTATATTCCTCTTCTCAATCAGGTATGCCTCGCCGAGGCTTTTTCACGTTCTGTATAGTCTCTAAACGCGCCCGTGAGCAGTGCACCGTTCCTTCCCGAGCGAGAACAGTTTTTGAAAACTTTCCGTCTTCTTTTTGGGCTGTTTCATGAAACCAAGCCAGAGAGCGAATTTTTCTGTTAATGTGACAGTTTGACAGTTTTTTCAGATCGGTAGTCGTCAGCACCTGCGACGAGGATGTTGCGCATAGAAGAATGCACTGTTAGAAGCTGTCTGGACAAAACGCATGCCGAACATTGGATGTTTGGAAACAGTACCGAAAATATGGCAACTTTCAGTATAGTGATTCTCGTATTCGATCTCATGGTCTTCCATATTTCATACTGCTTGCCAAAATTTGCAGACTCCAGTCCAATATGTAGGAAGTATTCACGTTAGGATCAGTCGACGTCATTAGCGAACAGTT